CGACTTGTTGGAGCTACACAGACATCCAAACGATTCGTCTGCTCAAGACAAAGAAAAAGAGCCCACTTACAGCCCTATAGGATGTTCTGTTCTCAAGTTGTGCCAAGCCTGTAAAGCATGAGAGTGCTTGTGGTAATAGGAATGTTGATCAATATTCATTGTTTTTATCAATATTTCAGTGTTTTGGAAGCTTTGTGTTATTTGGAAAGAAAACTCCCAATAAAAGTGAACAAAATAAATGGTATATTTTTCAATAATTAATTAGTTTCATCAAATTTACAGTTACAGTTGTATTCCAGGTGTATTAGAAGATATTCAGTTGCAAAATAATCTACAGGATGATGGTTTTGATGGTGATATTGCTATTATAATATATATTTAGTACCAGGCAAGGATAAAAATATCATATTTATTGTTGCATCTCCATTTATTCTTTAATAGAAAAATAAATAGGTTATAGGCATTTTTCCAGATAAAAGGTGTGTGTTTCCAAGAGGTTAACTGGGGTGCTAATTTTGGCTAGCAAAAACCAGCCTTAAAATGTAGGCTAGTTACTGGAAAAAATAGCACACCAGAACAGCTGACTTCTTAGAATTTCTTTTACTACAACCAAATGCTGAACAATACATTTTAGGCGACCAAAATGTTACAATTAACTTTCATTAACTGAAAACACAGTGAAAGCTCAAAGTTCTTGACCAAAAAAACAGATTCAAAAACAAGTTCACAGATCGTTATATTCAGTGCCGTTAAATAAGCCTTTTCAACTGTGCTGGTCAAATGTAAACACAGTGCTGTGGATACAAGTCGTCTCTATCCTGATCGACATCTCGCCGTGTTAATGACTTCATCATCACAAGGAAGCCCCGACCTAAAGCATATCCTGCTTTATCGGATTTTCCTCTAAATGGGACCATATTTTACTAAATGACTTATTTTTTGCAACCAATGGAGTCACCCCCTGCTGGCAGTTAGAGAGAATGCAGGTTTAAGGTACTTCTGCATTGGCTTCCCTTTTCAGATCCGGAGGTGACGCTTGGCTAAACCCCTCCGCCAAACATTGACCTGACTTTCAAGCTTTGAATTTTGGCCAAATTTCACTCTCTTTTTGCTCTGTTTTTTGTCTCTATCAACTCCTGAGGAAGACATCTGGCTCTGCTCATCAGTTTGGTGCTGAGCAAGTACAGTGGGGTTTTTTCACTGAAAACAGCTGCCTGCTACATCAGAGTGAACAACAACAGTAAAGTTGTGGGCTGTACTGCTAAACGATGAGCTTGTAATAAAGCTCAACAATTTATCTAACATTAACTTGAGGTCAGCTTAGCTGGCTAGCTGTCTGCAGCTGAGAAAATCTGCCAGCAACAGTCATCATTTCAGCTTTCTAGAAAGGAGGAGCTGCTTTTGTCTGCCTGTCTCTTCAATCAAGGAGCCATTGTTTCAGAAATTATTAAACATACTGAGTGATAAATATGCTTCTATTATTATTGTAAACTGCAGAATGGAAAGCTTGACAGGCAGATGGCAACAGTAAGTAAAGGAAGCAGAGCTTAGGGAATGGCCAAGGGGATAAATTGGTCAATGAATATGAACAAGTTATTAATCTCCCTGTTTTGTAAAATGCATATGCACTGTAAGTCAGCTATTAATTTCTCCATTAAAAACTGGTGCATCAAATTGATTTACACATTCCAGTATTTAATTAGGTTTTAAGACAAATTTCTAATTTAACCACACATCAATCATTTTGTCATATATAAATAATTTTTATTTGATTCTCTTTATTGATGAATTCGTAATAAGTCATAACTGCATCTCACTTAGTTAATTGCTTTCTAATCATTTTCAAGCCTCTCTGAGCCCACAATAAGATGCAGTCTTTCATGTTTATTTGTGTTGGCCCCTGAGATTCTGCAGAAGTGGTGAGATAAACATGTTTATGATACCCCGTGTATATACAGGATATGTGATGCACCACTGGCTGTACAATGTGGGTAATCACCAGTAATCACTGCCATTTTCATCAGTTACTTAAATATCCATATTACTACTTAAACATCAGCAGAACTTAAAAATTCAAACTGTATCTTACTGAGATCCACCCATGTGCTACTGTATTGGAATTCTAGCACTGAGCATTGATTTTCTGAATGCTGTAGGTTGAGATTATGGAGGGTACATACACAATATATTGAAAGACTTTCCTCTCTAAAACCAGTAGTATTGCTTCTGCAGAAAAAAAGAACTTAGTGTAAACCCATGAAAATCTGTTTGGGATTGCTGTAAAGCACAATACTACATCCAGGCACGTATTCTGAAGTCCCTAATGGAAATTCGGGATGGAAAATGTTTTTTCAGATGAATTTCCATCAACAATAGATAACATGTTTATCAAACCTTGCCACAATGGGATGTTATGTCTCTTCTGTGGGCAGGTGCTTTGCCTTAAGCAGCAAACCTCTCCTTAGTGGAAAATAAATCAAACATTCATATGCAAGTAGGCTCTGCTGTAAGACTGCCGCATTCTTCTCCCTGGTTGGCTGGCCTTTCTCTTGTGAATATCAACAGGATATGTTGACTCTGCATGACTGGGAACCAGTGTTGAATCAGAGCTATGGTTTCAGGCATGGCAACAGGAGGAACAGGAGGAGTCCTGAAGGAACAGGCTGCAGTCTATTTTGGGTCCTTTTGTTTAACCTAATTACAGTGTCAGTGTGTGTTGACTGAACCAGCACCAGTCAGGTGATCCTGCTTTGAAAAGTGGGACAACAATTGTTATAGACATGGCAATGTCATGCATAGTGGGCTATTTTATATGTTGAGACAAGGAAAAAATGAATTACACTCTGAGCAGGATCTCCTCATGGAGTGTGGAAAATGAAAAGGCAGGTTCAGGTTAACATGCAATAACAGCTCAGGTCTCCATCATGACATCGTGCGACACCTTTATGTGACCTTGGTAGCTGTTGTCTGTGTCACTGCTCCCATCTGCCAAACAATCCCGCAGCAAAATAGACAAATCACATTTTTAGCAGGATGGCTTTTCACATCTATTTCAAAATGAATGTATACCCCAAGATGAGCTTTCAGTGGAGCCCTCAAGCCTGGTTGCAGTGACAATAAAAGCATAAAGCCAGTAAATAAACGAAGACACGGCAGCGCCACCTGAGGCCCTGCTGTCTGAAATCAGTGAGTTTCAATTTGGAGAGTTTTTCTTTGCAAGTAAATGAGGTAATCATTTGTGAGAAGCTACCGGTGAGGCGGGATATGAAAACCTGGCTGCTTGTGGGAGGCACGGCTTTGAAAAGAATCTCATCCATGAGCTACTCTGTTTAACTGCACTGATGCGCTTTTCCCTCAGCGTCCGCCCTCCAGCCATCCACCTGAGAAAGCACTTTAGAAGCTACTGAAGTAGGGCAGACGACAGCTTTGCCTGTGTTTCTCTTTTGTCAGTTGTACTGTGCGGTATCATCTTCAGCCTCAATGCTGCTCTCAGATCCCTGATATGAATCATAGCATCATTTCATCACTTGCTTCCACTGGCAGACTCCTACAGTACACAGCTCCTGTGAGGCACAGATTTTGTTAATTTAATCTCACATCAACTTAATTTAATATCAGGGAGACAGGAGGACCGCCTGTGTAATTAAGTGATACATTAACCTAAGTTATAAAGTGTGTGTGTTTGTGTGTTCCTGCTTTTATACATTTCTATATATACATGTTTGTATCTTCCTTCTTTGTTAGCCTGTATTTTCTTTGCCTTGAAATCTACAGATGTTATTCTGTTTTCAGTATGTAACATCATTTTCACACACAAACAACACCACCACTTCAACACACAGCCTTGCCTGATCTAATTATAATCATGTAACCACAGCGACAAAGGACTGCCATACCCTTTTTACTGTTGGGCTCTGTAATCTGTGGAGATGTGGGACTGTTGGGAGTATTCAGTGTGCGTGTCGGTGAAGTGAAAAGGTGAATTATTGCTGATTCTGTGGTGTGGACAAACGCGTCAGTGCCATGGACTTGGTGTCACCATGCCTCTGGGAAATCATTATTGTGCCAGGTAACGCTGGGTGATGCACGAAGACTGGAGCGGAGCAGATGTGGGGACTTATTAGGAACTTTATTTGCTATCGTACCCTTCAACAGATATCACTCTTAATTAGGTCTCCATGGATAAGACTAGGCATCTGGACTGTTTGCTCATGAATGGACTGACTGATGTCCTTTTGTGCTCTCATTGCCACACACACACATGCACACACTCCTCCTCCACTTTATTTCCAGCTTGTTTAAGTAATACTACACTAATGGCATGCAGAGATCACTCCATCTAGTGGCCGTTTTTAACTCGACTGACAACAACATGGGGGCTCTGCATTGCACACGCTGCACCAGCAGCATGACTGTAGTGCCCCCTGTGAGCTTTTCGTTCCACATTCATGCACATGGAGCCAGTGCTTCTCTGGCGCTACATCTCCGTTTAAGCACAGTAATCCATCAGTCACCTTGGCGCCCAGTCAATTCACTTCTTTGTCTAACTGTTCATTTATGCATCGACTCTGCACATGTCCAGACACGTAATTGATTCCTCTGTATACAGTTTATATGCTCTCATTGGTGTGACCAGCCACAATGTAAAAATCAATGGAGCACTGAAGAGCTCAGTAGACACTGTGTTGGGGCTGTTTATCTGATCAGATACAGGGAAAGTGCACATAACAAAATACACAGAAGACCCATAACTAACTGTTCCTACAAAAAGGTGTATTTTAAAGCTGCACTAATCAACATTTTTATATTATCAATGGCTCAAGGTATTAAGTGTAATGTGAAAGGTGTCTCCCATAGTGATTTCATTCAGGTGCCTATACCTATCCGCTTGGGACTATTGGTGTAAAAGTTTACTGTAAAATTTAAAAAAAGAGTGGAGTAATACACATTATACAACTGTAATGAGTTTTTGTGGAAGAATATACATTGAATACGTGATCATTATATCAACACAACCCAGTGTGCTTGTCATTAGTTTTATTTACATTTCAAATATTTGAAGCAAAATGCAGGAATAACACAGTGACATTAAACATTCAGGCCTGTACAGTACCAGTACCGTGAAAAAAAAATCAAATGTGGAATGAATAAAGATTAAGGTTCACATTGCAGTAAAGTAAAACATTTTTAACAATATTAAGTGTGTTCAAAATAAATATAATTAATTAATGAAATTCAGACTTGGAATGTATTCAGATGTACCACTGAGGTAGGTGTGTAAGTGACATTCATCAATTTTTTGCTGACTGGCGTTTCCTTTATTCATAACAGCATGAATGCATTAATGGCCCGCTGAGAAAAGATTAGACCCTAAGAACAAATAATAAATGGAAATATTATTCTTTTTTGGCAAACTTATCAAACTAAATGTCTTCCCTATGTGTTTGCAAGGCACCCAAAACCAAATGTTAATAATAGGCTCTTTGGATATTATAAAGAATGATTCATGTGTTGAAGCTCACCCAGGTAGCTCTGAAATCTAGGTAATATTGCTTTAAGTCAGCACGACTTCTCATTTATAAAATTCTTGTGGCAATGACATTGATAAAGTGCTCTATAGTAAACTGTGGTCACTCAGTATTAGAAGAAAAATAAACCTCCATTTCAGTGTGTAAGTGTTGTCGGATACATTTTTACAAAGTACCTTTTTCATAAAATATAAGACATCAGCAAAACATAAAACGCAATTGACAGCAAAGTTGAGAAATGAAGACGAAGCTGTAGTCTTGAAGAAAAACACATAGCCTACTTTAGATTCTTGTCTACATTCAGAAATAAGTCATTTGGGGAAACAGTGTCTTAGCAAAGATGTCCTTTAAATGTCTTTGCTCACATTCATCTTTGAATCCAGTGAAGGAAGATTGCCCTGACAATATGTCATACAAGTAGTAGTACAGTAAGTCACAGACTTATTTCAGTACAGGTTTTCTTCAGCAAGTCCATCTAAAAGGAGACAGAAAATAATGTTAGTGAAATGTGACTTCAATATCTGGAACCCACAGGAAATATGTCAAAGGAAAATCCTTCGGTGGCTTTATTGTTTGGTAAATAATTACCTTGCTGAAGGCTACTCTGCATGTAGTGGTTGAGTTGATGCAACCCAGTGTTTTGGTCATGGCGTCCCATCTGCAAACTGAAAGGATCCACAGCAGCGAACTGCTCCGCAGGCGGCGAGTCATCTGGGATGGTCGGGGAGAGGCCGAGGGGCTCCTGCTCCAGCTGATGGGAACCACTCCTGCTGCGCAACAAGCCCTGCTGGTAGCTGTATGACACAACGCCGGGGCCAGGAGTGCTGCTTTTCTTTGCGACCATGTCCAAGTCTTTCAAGATGCTGTTGAACATGCAGTCACCGAGAACCAGCTCCAGCTTAGGAACAAGAACTGAGGGGAGAGGAGGGTGATGGGACCAGGCAAAGGCTGAGGGCGGAGAGTTCGTGGTTGCAAGTTGGCCCACATTATGAAGTGGGTCTAGGGTGTGATACGTGGCAAAGCTGCTGGCCAGGGAGGAGATCTGCTGTGCGAGAATACTGATCTCTGCCTGTTCCCTCTCGTTGTAATGGTTAGATCCTGTGGATGTCGGAGATTGGTTGGGGGTAAGAAGACTGGAATGCACAGGCAACACATGGTAGGGAACATGATGCACATGGACAAGGCTGCCCCCTTGTGGCTGCTCGAGAAGGTTGAAGTCGTCTTGATGCAGAGCACAGTCTGCTGAGCTCTCACACATGTCGGACACGGACGGGCAGTCTGGAACTAATCGAGCATCAGATGTACAAGCTTGGAAATCATAGGTCGGAGATGAGGAGGAGAGTGGAGAGCGAGAACTGAGGGCGTCGAAGGCTGCCTGGTTGAAGGTGTGTTCGGCGGCTGCAGGGAGGGAGTCGGAGGGTGAAGGGTGACAGGTGAGCCCTGCCTCTGTGTAGGAGTAATAGGAGGGAGAGCACTCAGGGGAGGACAGCAGCTGATCTGTGTATCCATGCACATCTATCATGAGGTCATGGCTGAACTCCTCCTGCTGCAGAGGGGAGCCGGAGGAGGCCGGGGTGTAGGGAGGGGTGAAGAAAGCAGGGATGTCACCTAAGGGTATAGGTGAGCTATTGCCTTGGGAGGAGGGACATGCCGCATAGCACATGTCTTGCTCGGACTCCCTCCTAGCTTTGGCACCCGGCTCCTCGCTTTGGCTGTTAGACGTCCTCTGCCTTTTAAAGCATTGCGCGCCGTTGTAGCTCTGAGTGTGGGACGCCTGTTGGCAGGAATCTGGCAGACATGAGGGTCTGAAGGCATTGCTGCTGATTTTCTTCTGCAGAAATCTGGCCTCTGTTTCACTACAAGAGCCAAACAAAATATATCAGTGTTTGTAATTTGAAACACAGCGAAACATTTCTTACACTGTCCGCTCAGGCCTGCTTGAAAAGGTTAGTTTGTACCTGATGATGAAGTTTGTGCAGCTCACGCCCTGGCACGCAGAGTCCTTGTTAGCTTGAATGTAGCTCCAGATCCATGACAGATCCTTGCACTGGAGTCTGAGCACCATCTCTACCTGGAAGCCCTCATCTGCCTGCACTGGATGGGACAGGGAACAAACATGAATGGTTATTATCATGCACTCTCACTGACTTAATGACACACACACATTGAAATCAGTGCTCCACCACCCAAATGTTTAATTGTAAGCCTGCAATATCCTCACAAAGCTAAAGAAATGAAACTAAGTCAAGCCCTGGTGTGTGTAAGTTGTTGGTAGACATTTAATGTGCCAAAATAGTTAAATGTTAAATAAAGTGTTTTGTTTTAGTGAGTGTACACTTACTTAAACTTCTATGAGAATCTGCACTGGCAGAAAGATCTTCAGGGTGGACAAGACTGTACCACGATCGACCAGTCATTTCTTCACCTGAATACCCCAAACAATATGAAACACTGAAAAAGAAAGAAATGTTTGTCAGTAACCATAAAAGGGACATTTAGAGTATACCTTGCTTAAAGGGAGATCCACAAATATACCTGTCTGACAGCTGAGTAAAGGTCATATCGATTCTGTGGACACTGTCGAAGCTGTGACAGAGGTGGGAGTCAGAGCTGCGCAGGCGGTTAACTGTCGGGGTACAGAGGGCCACGAACAAAGGCTGGTTGGTGGGACACACTGAAGAGGAGGAATGACAAGGCTGAGGAAAAGACCGGAAGCTCCCCCTGACCATCATGGAACAGCAGCTCCCGTGTTGCAACTTGAAGGCCTTGGAGGTTTGCATACAACATATAAAGCTCCTCTCTGAAGAAGAAAGATAACATACCACTTTAGTCTTTCAGTCGTAAGAATAGGAGAAACTTTACTATGGATTAAATTGTTATAGGGTATAAAAAGTATAAAATATTGAAAGTGCTTGAGGTAGCATTTTTAGATTACATTGTACCATTTTGATTTAAAACAAATCTACCTCCTAAAAACATTTTCTGCAAAGATCAGCAACCTCTCCAGCTTCTTCATTTAACAAAAGGAGCCAAGAGTGGCCTTCATTTTCAGAAGCAAAACACTAAGAATACCAGCAACACGAGGTTACCAATCCCCACACTTACATTTATTCATTTAGCTGACGCTTTTATCCATAGCGACTTACAATTTCTATACATGTCAGAGGTCGCACACCTCTGGAACAACTAGTGGTTAAGTGTCTTGCTCAGGGACACAATGGTGGATGGGTCACAGTGGGGAATTGAACCCAGGTCTCTGCCAAAGGCATGTGTCTTATCCACTGCGCCATCACCACGCTTACATTTGTAATAAATATATTAAAAATGCTTCAAACAGCAATTTTAAAGTGATATCAAAGTCTTTAAAGTTACCTGATGATGAGTTGTTTTCAATGTCCAGGTTTGATTTGACAATATCAATGTCAGAGCGTTCCACCATATCGTAGAATGAGTCTCCTTGGAGCACATCAATCTGGAAAAATGACAGGTTTTACAATTAGATACAACAGAGTAAAGCCCAACATGCAGCAAGCTAAATAGTAAAGCGCACTAAAAGTCGTCCAAATTGAGAGACTCACCATGGAAAGACCAAGATATTCAGCTACATTTTCGGAAACATAGACCAGCCTCCCTTGGGTGTTAGTGACCAGGATGAAGCCGTGCAGGGCTTGAAGAAAGGCCTCGTATGGTGGAGAGCAGTGTGATCTCTCCCCAGCCGGGAGTCCTTAGAGAGGAAAGAGAGAGTTCAGCCTTGGTTACACTCTGTGCATCTCAGCAGGTCGTCACAGCTTTTATATAATCCCTCCGGTTTTGCAAACTTTTTTTTTTGCATGACAATGGCACGGGTTGAACAGAGATTAGACGCTCAGAGATATTAAAGAAAGACTGTAACTGAGGTGTGAAGACTTACCCTGGAAGAGAACAGACTTCCTGATGTAGGTGCAGATGGCAGCCATGGAGTGCAGGTAGGAGAGACGCTCCTGGTCCTCCTGGGTTATGGGAAGTAGAGCACGCATATTCCTGATCTCATAATTGATCTGGTCCCGGCGGGCTTTCGATGCTCCTTTGGTGGATCTATGAGAGACCATGGTCACTGAGCTCAGAGGTTGGAAAAAACTTGGGAAACTTAAGCTAGAGAGCCAAAGTTTTGTCTACTGCCACACTTCAAAAAATCTGTCTAAAATCATCCTTTTCCAATTGGTAATAGTGAAAAAAAAAAGAAGAATAAAAAATCTAAAAAAGACAAACTGAGTAATTGGCCTGAGCTGATCTCTTTCACAGTTCAGCCTGGAGTCTCTCTCCCCATGAGCTGAAGCTGACTTTGAATATCAAGGGTTCCTATGGAAACTGCTGATATGAGAGGCTGTCTTGTCTGCAGCAGAAACGAGGGCTCTCACTAGACTTCACCAGTCTGTGTGATCAGTATCTGTCTGGGCCCATCCACAGAGAGCCGGGGGTTTTTATAGCTGCCAGGGCTTCAGCGTGGGCGTCACACACAAAGGGGAGGGCTGGGCTTGTGCTGCTCCCTTTATTGCCTTATAAAGTGGGTGTCCTCAGAGTGGGCGCCCCACGTCACAAGGACACAGAAAGTGCCACAAAAGGAGAATTATATCACTTTGTATCCCAGCACCTGAACAATAAAGATCCATTCAAATTGAACCTATATTTGGGGTTGTTTGTTTTAGGATACAAATTTCAGACCAAAATTTTAAGTCTTTTATGGATATAACAGGAATATAATACCTCAGTTATACCACTTTAAATTGCCAGCAGCTTTGTTGTGGCTGGATTTTTTTATCACATACAACACTGGGCTGCAGACAGGAGAAACTGGATTAAGTGCACCCTGCAGTGCATGCTCTGCAGGCAACACAGTTGGGTGTAAATGTTCTTAACGGCCATGTGCTCAGCCCGCCACAAGAGGACGTGGAACACGTAGGAGGAGAAGAGTGCCACTGACCTGAACCTTCTGCAGAAGCAGCTGCGGTGATCCTCAGGTAGATGATGAGGGGTGCACGGAGCACTGACATGGTATTTGCAGGAGTTGCACCAAATAGTCATTTTGACGCGGATGTAGCCACCCAGAGTGTAAAACATACGCTGATTCAGTGCTAAGTATCAGATACGGCTCAGAGGGAAGAATAAAAAAAAGGCTATCAAGTGTTTTAAGTAAAAACTGATGAAGTAATTTTGACCTAGAATACAGAAAGTAGTTCCCCGGTGAGGAGAAACTACCTTGAATAAAGATAACTCGCCTTCATCTCCTACATTTGCAGGCTCAAGTCCGGGTGATGAGTGTCATGTGTGCGTCCCTCCTTTTATAAACTAAAACCCGACACCTCATCCAATTCAGCTGGTGGGGAGGAAAACAAAAAACTAAATGGTGTAATGTTTCTAGTTGTGATGCGATGACAAATGATTGAGGCGGGTTATATTTAGTAAAGTGAGCCCTAAAAATAACCTGCAAGATTGGACGCAGGATTAAATAAACTGGCGAAGATGAGAGATGTCATCAGTAGCCTACATAAAAAATGTGTGTGTGTGTGTGTGTGTGTGTGTGTGTGTGTGTAAAAAGCCTTTTAAAGGTTTGCAAATGTGTTGATTACATCACAAGAAAATACTGGGACCTATGTTCAGATATTTGTTATATACCAGATTCACCAGAAGAACACTTAGATTCAAATAAGAGAAAACTTAAAGTCTTGTGCGACTATTGACTATAGTTAAGAAACACACCCTGACACAGAGTTTTCCTGGCTGGGGGGTCGGTTGTCCCCGTGTTTAAAAATGGATTTTTCACTCAACACCCACATTTGAAAACAGCCCAAACTTTTTTTTAATGGTAGCCACACCAGACCTGTTTTAACCCTTGTGTTTTGTTGACATTGGCTTTGGCATAGCCTATTTCAAGTATCAAAAGAAAAATGATTGTTTTGCATTAAAATAGCCCCTGTGACTGATATAATAAATGACATTATACTGATGCATCAGCAGAATGTTGTAGCTGCTTAAGGTGGAGCTGGTTTTAACTACTTTATATACAGTTAGCTAGTTTACGTTAACCTAGGGGTCGGGCCTCTCCAAAGGGTCACAAGATAAATCCAAGGGGTCATGAGATGATTAATGGGAGAGAAAAGAAAAAAACAAAAAAAGTTCTGATACACAAAGCTGTTTTCACATTTTGGAACTTTTGTCTAATCTTTAATTTTTTTGTGAAATATTGGATAATTCGAACTGTTAAATGAAACCGTGTGAGAAGTTTAGAGAGGAAATGTTGTCTTTGGTGTTCTGCTAACAACTCTTGGACAGGCCACACAAACCTATGGCCTACCTATGTTAGTTATCTTTAACAATGTGTCAGATTTATAAACTAGGTTTTTCTTTTGGAAAATCTTAACCTGAAACATAACTAGTAACTAAACCTGTCAAGTAAGATAGAGTGGTAAATAGTACAACATTTCTGAAATAGTAGCCGGAAATGGAGCTGAAGTGCAGGTACCTCAATATTGTACTGAACCTTGAGTAAACTTACTTAGTTACATTCCACCACTGCTGCTGTATATGTAATTATATATATATATATTAATAATAAGAATTGCAAAATCAACCAATTTTCCTTAAAATATTTTTTTCTGACCTTATTAAAACCAAACAGGTAGAAACGTATTGATAAACCTTCCCTTTGACTCATACTGAGCTCACACATTTTGTGAAGGTGACGAAATACATAAATTACTATAACACATTATTACACCAAATAAGGGAATATGTAATCTTTTATTTGTGGGATATGCAAATAAATGAATATTACTTTGCCTTTCCAAAAAGTGACAAAAAGTACAATATGTTATCTCACATAGTGACTTTAGAGTAAACTTTAGCTAAGCTGTAAACCTTGCACTACATCTTGCTTTTATTTTTATTTTATTCTTTAATTGTTTAATTTAAATGATCAAATACATCTAAATTTTTAAGCACTTTTTATATTTTATTTATTGTATAACATGTTTTATGTGAAGCACAGAGTCTGTCTCGCATATGAATTGTGCAATATAAATCAAGTTGCCTTGCCTAAATTATTCCGTTAGATCTCTTATATGAACAAACTCTTAGAAAACTACAATAACAGACATTCAAATATACTTATTTGGGATCGTAAAAAGTTGTACTGCAGAAAAAAGTACTGACAACACCAATTACAGACGTACAACATCATTTAAATCCACTGTATGTAACCATGTTTTACAGCTACAGTCTCTGAGACCTCATTGTGTCATTTTCTTCTGAATGACACAATGAGGCTTCTGAATATTTCAACAGTTCAAATCATGTTTAGAAGACATTCTCCTACACGTTAAAAAAAGTCATACCATTATGTCTACTAGGATGGCTATTATGAGCACTTAGACAACCTGCGGTCTCCCCTCCACATGCAGACAATAGTTAAGTCAGTAAGAATAATGCTACACAATAATGACATACAAGGTGAAACACTGTAAGAATGGAAGCATATCATAAGAATATAAAAGCCAAGTTACTTTCCATTAGGCACTGTCATTCATGTCTCAGCAGAAAACCAGCTCGATGCATCATAATTTAATTTCTGAACAGACTTCTGAGGCAGTCAGCTACACTAGTTTATCAAAGGTCTTTAACTGCGTGTGTATTAGTCACTCAATTAAACCCCAGTTGGAAGGGAATTAAGCTACAGGTCTGCAAACATGACGCACTGAGGCTGAGACGCTCGGCCACTTACACAAAATCACGTTCTTTAGCAGATGAATAGATTATGGGCATCAGAAAACAAGACCAAGGCATACTAGAAACCTAGTATTTTACAAAAGGCTGCCACTCATCCTAGAGGAGTTACTTTTGCGAGCACGATGCCTGCGTGGAAAACTAAAGATGAAAGTTTCCCTGTTTGTCAGTGCTATGGAATGGAGACTGCTTTCTTTGCCGTCATTTTTGCTAGAGTTCCACAGCTGAGACTTCTATCCTCTGAGGGCTCATGCTCCTTTAATGCCTCTTTTCTCAAATCCCCAATTTAGTGGACTCAACAACGCTGGGAGCAGAGAACTAGAACTTGAGTGAGGGAATTGCGCAGTGATGGGGGGGCAAGACAAAACAAATCACTCCGAACAAATCCTCTGTCTGATTCTCAAGGGCCAGTGGGATTGCCTGAGTCCTGAAGGGAAATTAGAGAGTAATTTGGGTGAGTGTCTCCTTGCATTAGCGCCTGCGTTGCTGGCCGAAGCAGGCTCCAGGCCCAGACAGAGGGACCCGGCGCAACCCTGCTTCCTGTGTGCGGCGGGGCCAGGCGGGACAGGGTGTCTCTGCTGCCTCACTTTAAGCTGACCCTCCGTCTGTGGCCTGCACTTAACACTGCAGATAACGCTGGCTTTATAGCATGGGGCTGGTGACAGACAAGAACAAACTGCCAGGCCGCTACTGGTAGCAGAGCAAAGATTGGAGCTGGGGTTCAGGGTGAGACACTTTCTAATGATGGGGACCCCCCCCCAAAAGCAGCCGCACGCATCCCATTAGGTAGTCTGACAGCCAGTAGGGGGGTTGGGTGGCACCATGGCTTCAGAGTACCCACTGAAGTAGACGATGAGAGCAATCAGACAGGACGGCTGGGGTAGATGCAGCTCTCTGGATTTCAGCAGGAAACAGAAACTGGGGAAATGCATGGTTCAAAGACCTGCTAACTATTAAGTGCCACATACAGTAACTCCAGGAGACGACCACACTCCATAAAGTGGTGGAACTAGGAAGGCATCTGGCTTGTTTTTTAAACAATCAAATTCCCTTGACTTCCCCAAGTCCAACTGTGTGTGCCAATGAGGTTTAGTTCATTTACTCAAAGGCTTATTATTTAGTAGCCCTTTCCTGAGGCAATATGTGAGGAGACACGGTGTAGAGGATAAAACTGAAATTGTGTTTTTTAGTCAACTTTATTCACTCCTTGGCTCTGCAACTCATCTTTCTAGCTCCTCTCCTTTATACATTTCTTCCTGCTTTGCGTGCTTAGTAAAGATTTTATTCTTGGAGACCAGAAACTTTCTGTGACACTGACATTAAACTACACAGAAAATAGCCAATTGTACACCTCTTCTGAAAGTCCTCTTTGCAGCCTTGCTGTAAAATACCTAAATGAGAAAAGAATTGAATTAGCTGGCTTTATTTAATAACAAATTCTAAACATGTAGGTGACCTGTTTAAATCCCTTGTTGGGCCAAATCTGGGCCCCAGCCAGCAGTTTGTAGTGCGTCTAGAATATGTTTTTGCCTTTCCAACCTTGACTGTGACTGACAGGGTCAGTTCATTCTTAAACAAACCTAAATGCTTTAGAAATCATCAAGCTCAATGCGTTCTGAAAACAGAATACATGAAGAAACTAAATGTATTGCACATTTAAAATGGATACAAATGTTAACAACTCAAATTGTCTCAGATTTATTATGTATACAGTGATAAAGCATATTGCACAGGAAGTCCTGACCAGCCTCGACAGATACAGAGTCCCCTCTGAAAAATGTGTAAAATATAAAATTAAACAAAAACAGTGAGTGTAGGCCTGCACAGCTGTAAAATGATTCCAAATACACTCCAAACTTTGATCAGTTTTTTTCCAAGCAATGTTTGTTGTTAATGAATGATTCAGCCATTTACTGTAAGACCTAGTTAGAAAAGATTTCTTGGCATGAATCAGTCTGGTCACATACTTCTGTTTGGCAAATAATTACTGCTCACACTGAACAACTTTATCATGTGTGCGCGCTATAATCCAATGATGCACTTTTTAAGTGTATTTTAGTCTTTTCAATGTTTTCATGCTTTTATCTTGTATTGTTTTTGTATTATTGTCTCTTGGGTATTATTGTCTTTACACTTGTAACTTGTTTTTGAAAAGTGCTCTACAAATAAAGATTATTATTATTATTATTTTCTTGACTGAAGCAGTTTTTTCTAGGTTGGCAAATGCTATTTTGGAAAAGCAAGTCACACTGTGAAGTTTGATCAAAAATTTACTAAAGCCTCTTCACAAAGTAAAACGACAATAAATAATAGAGGAGCCTTACAAATTGTGGTTTTACATCACGGCCATTAAAAATGCAATGCCAATATATTCAGGCAAAATCACTAACACTTGTCATTAGCAATTAGCACTGCCTTCATGGAGGTAAGCGAGTGACCATCATTGAGGAACTTTATTGCGCAGGTATTTTATTTCTGACCATAGTATCTATCTACATTGTCATTTACTTAATATTTACTTCATGTCATATTCCTGAAAAGTTCTTGACTGAAAATACCATCACCCATAATCTTCTCACGCAACATGAGAAGAACCCCAAATGCTGAAAAAAATTACTTCCACACCACACATTAGAAAAAAGAAATAAACAAATATTTCAAAAAATAAAAAAATCAGTTTTGCTGATGGCCATTTGGTGTCACATAAACAGTTTGATTTGTTCAGCATAGTATTTTTTTTTCTTGAACACATAATTAGCTTCCCTGTGGTTTCACTGCATTAGCTGTTATATAGTCCAAGTAAGTGGGGTACTGAGGAATATCTAGTGTGTCATATGTCCATGTGCAGTGTAGAGGGCACAAGACTGTGTCACATTGGCACCACCGGTCTGTAAAAAAACAAACAAATATTTCACACTTATTTTGGGCAGGCAAACGTTTTAAACTCTGGAAGTCTACTTAGGCAAAAAGCAGCTTCAATACGTCTCCTCTCTGTAAGGCCTGACATGCCACGATTGGCTTTAGTGCAGTTATCTGGTGACTTCAACCTGCATTTACAATTGATTTACACTGCTTTACATGAAACACACAGATTTGTAAACATTTATGATGTAGGTCAGTGTTATCCAATCCTGATGTTTGGGACCCTGAGCCCTGCAGGGTTTAATTTGAACAAGCTGATCAGGGACTGACTGATACAGATTCAACTATCTGGCAGGACAGAAAACAGCAGCAGACTTGGTCCTGATGACCAGGACTGAAAAGCATTGATGTGTGTGGTAACATTGTGCCTATTCACATCAAAAGTAGGCAGTATAAATAAAACTCTTTAGCTGTATATCCATCAAGTCATTCATTTCAATGTCGTACCCTATTACTAATTTTTATTTATAAGATTCAAAGGATAAGTCTACTGACATTCTGTATTTTTCTTATTGTCAACAAATCCCATAAAAAGACCAAAATCAACAATTAACTGATAACTGAAAGTATTGTCTGAGTATCCAAAGCTAGATGTATCTCACTCCGTAGACTTTTATTGTTTTCCAAAACTATTTATAACACTTAAGTCAGCCACAGCGTTGCACTGGTTGACCTGTTTCGTCCTAAAGATGACCACTTCAATTTGAGTCGATACCTTAATACATGGTCCTGCTGCTGCCAGTACTCACAAGTGCACCAAATCTGTGATTAAAAAAAAAGTTCCAGACAAATACTTAACTTACTCCTGTTAGAGTAACAATTGTTAAAAACGACAGCGCCCAGCTGTCGGCATGACTGAACGTTATGTTGGTACCGTTCAACAGGAACCAATGGGCTTGCAGCTGAGAGCCAAGGACACGGTAGGAAAGTGTTGACAGAAGGATTAATACACTGTAGGTTTTGGTCTTTTTATGGCATTTGTTGACAAAATCAGAAATATACAATAACCCCAATCTTATCTTTTAACCAAAGAGATAAAAGGTTAAAAAAAGACGACCACCACTTGTGTTTTTAAAGTTTTGTTCTAAAAGGTGTAATTAGTATTAATAAAATAAAAAACACACAACCTGAATAAACATCCCCAGTATAAGCTATTCCAAATAGTTTTGCTGTGTGGCGAGTATGTTATCCAATGACAGCCCTTATGCATTTATAATATCTGCTCAGGTGGAGCTTTGCTTGTAGTGACACAAAAACACACGTCCACTCTTTTCCTGGTTTTTCTCCGTGCTGTGAATAAGCAGGTCACGGGGAGAGTCTGAACGCTGTAGGATTGTCTATAAGAGGCGCAACTACATTATGCATATTAGCGATGGTCTCCCCCACAAAAACAGGCAAGCAGCAGGGCTAGGATTAAGTGTAGGAGGGACCACGTGCTTACATACATACACAGTATATATCTGCATCATGTTTCCCTTCTAAATTTGGCACTGAAAAACAAACTACAAAGTAAGGGTGGCGTGGCAGCTGAGTCGCACTCCTCAGTGACACGGCGACATTTCTTGGAAGAACACAACAGACAAACCACAAACAAAAGGGCTCTTTTTTGGGGGGTGGTTGGGGGGGTAGATGTCTAATGTATGGGAAGTCATATTAAAGACTCACTGATACATGCTATTGAGGGAGGTAGATGGACTTGATTATTTTACAAGGCGGACAGATGGCTTGCTTCAGTCGCCTTGCAAATCATCTTTGAGACACTTAAGAGCAGTTGAGGCTGCTAGCCAGGTTATGATGAAGGTGGGGAAAAGGTAAGCAGTATGTACCCCATACTCTGTCTCCTTGCATTTAACACCAAAGTAATAAATTAGCCTCGCCCACTCCATATACTGTGCACATAACATAATTTGCTGCAAATGTACATGGTAGTTTTACATGGTTTTATGATCAATTCAGAGCTGCAAGATATACAAAGTCACGACCATCTCAGTCTCTTTATATCTGGAACAGAAGGTTCACATTTGTCTCTTACGGAAGATCTGTTGAGTGTGACATCAGGATGACATCCTCAACAAAGAGGTTAGCTCTCAAGGCCTTTGGCTCAAGTTCTTGTCTCTTCCTGTGCTTAAGATTAGAAGTCTATGATTATCATAGGCTGATTGGATTTCTAGAGAGGCTAGAAAGAAGAGGAAAAAAGGTGAACAGGTATCAACAAATTTTCTGTTTCACATGACCAGTGTTCTCAAGGGTTAAAATATCCTTCGACGTGAGAAAGCTCATGGCGTCCAAGGATACGCGGGAGATTTTGGTCAGTAATGAGTTTTCACTTGAAGAATGTGGAAAATAAATCCAATTCAGATCCAAACTCTACAAAAACAGTCCGTCGGAGCTCATTTGATTAGAAAGATAAAAGCCTAGTGTCCGGAAATGGAGCAAGCAGTTCTGGTTCTGCTTCACATTCAGCTGCGTCAGCCATGGGAGGAGAAGATGGGTCTGCTGATGTTGCTGTTGGTGGTCATGGCTGCCAGTTCCCACCTGGAGTGAACAACAGGAAGAACAGGCAAGGATCTTAGGGTATTATCACATATTTGATTAGCATTTCACAAACAAACAAGAGATGTAAGGCTGAAGTGTTCCTGCATCATCAGAACCCTTGCACAACATGCATAAATGTAGGCTAACCAAACAGGTCAGGTGTGAAAGCACCCACAATCTTCAGGAAGACTAAAGGCTCTGGTATACTCCAAACAAAAAAAATGTTACTGTGCTCACAAATGGTGTGAAATTGCTGTTGCATATGGCACTGTGGCTATGTTGCTGATACTAGACATAGCGGATATCTTCAGAATACATACAGACCTTTATGGTTTGAAATATGCAAGATGCTAAAAATCTACTGCAATGACACTCAAGAAACTGTGTGATTGTTGCTCTCACCCTCTGCCACCCCCCACCCCGTCCAATTGAAGGGCTATGATGTGGACAAGGATGAGGAGGGCCTCGCTGTAACACGAGAACCAGGAGCAGGGACCGACAACAGGGTGTAGTGCTGACCCGCTGACAGGTCAGAGGTTGAGCTCCAGATTGTTATCACTGGCTCTGGTTTCACACTCACTCCCTCTCAATTGCTTTGTTCGTTTTTTTGTCATGCGCGTGTGCGTTTCAGAGGGGAGATTGGCACTGGAGCTGGAGATGCCAGTGAGGGGCAAAAGGGAGTTAACCAGAGTCTTGTGACCCCACTGAAATCCCTCTAAGGGTTAGAAACACAAATGCAGACACTGAAGTGGGGAGCGTGCAAGGTGGCAGTGCGAGAGAAATGACAGGCTGAGAGGAGTAATTAGTATCAAGTTCTCCCCCCCAAAAAAAAGAAAAAGAAAAAAAAATTCACTTTAGTGCAAACCCTCTATTTGAGATGCACTTGTCTAATGAGCTACAACAGCTTGATAAAGTCTATTCATTAAGGTTTTATGAGAATCTGACATGAATGAATCTGAATTTTATTCCAAATGATGCAAACTATTCTGTATTACTGGGAAAAATACATACATGCCAACGAATGTGAACCTGCCAATTTAAAAATACCAGTTTAAACATTTCACTTTGACATGCAGCTAATGAAAGGCAGTTGGCAGACAGCTACAGCTGAAACCACACTTTTTTTAAACATGTATTTTGCCTTTGCATGTTTTAGAATCTAGCTTTAACGCCATTATTATAACTTCCCTGCCCTGTGATTACAGCGTCACAACTAAACAAAGCAGTGCTCTCAAACTTTATATGTGAAAACAATTTTCAAACTTGTCACTGAGAGAGGAAAATTATGCATTATTAATCAGTATCTGTAAGGTGCTACATGTTAATTTCCTACCTGCTTGCAACTAAGAAGGCAGTTATTTGCATTTATTCGAAATGACTTCAATGGCTTGAGTGAAGACAAGCAGTTTTGTTTCATCGAACAAGATAATGCACTCAAAGACAGCAAACCTTTGTTTGTGTATGTGGCTTTAAAGCAGGTCTATTGTTTTTATAGCTTTGGGGGAATTTTCTTCCTAGGTACCAGCTGTACATCATTTGGATTATCTCTATTTGTGTTCCCCTACTAAAACTTACATTCTGCAAATAAGTAGAAAGAAAAAGCCCTCTTCCTTTTTTGGTCTCTATTCTTCTCAGTCCAAATTGTACATGGATTCACAGAAAATGAACAAACTGAAAGCACCACATGGACTATACTACTTTCTCATCATGATCGTCTGATTTTTTTATATGCAGACCATCATGCTATTAGTTGGAGGATGACATAATGACTTTATGTAAAGTCAGACAAAAGCCTGAGTAAAACTTAGTGCTTGTTAAATGAAGGATAATGAGTCATAATATGTCTCTTTGAAAAACAGCCTCATTATTGAGACAGAGTGGTGGCAATAATGACAAGCATAATACAAACAACATGAACACTATGTCAATTCTATGACCAAATAGCGCTAATGTTTGAGAAGAGGATACTTGTCTGACCTGATATCATGTGGGAGTCCTGACTGCTCCAGACTGTACTGAATAACAGCTATTTTGCATAACGTCTTCAAATTAGGGCCTGAAAAGAAGAGTGAAAAATGAGTCATAGACTGATCATAGACACTAATCACACTAGGCTAAGAATATCCACTTAAGCTGTGGGAATTCAGAATGGAGTCAGGCAGGTCAGATCTAAGAATCTGTAGATGAAAGGGGGGTTAGATTTCCTCACCAAGGAGTAAAAATGTTCCGTTTATATCACACCCCAGAAAAACAGTTGAAACAAACAACAGTGTTCACATATGAGGACGTGCACAACATTATGATGCTACTGTTAATCATCATAGTACACAAATCATATTATAAACTTCCTTTCTAATCCTAATTACAAACGCTCTCTGAATTACTATTACCGTCATGGCTGTTCCACCATATGTTCAGCGATAAACAGTGTGAAGGCGTATGCCACAGGGGATGTCACTGGGTACTGCCAGTCCCATACGGTCCCTGTGTCCATTTGTAAGCCCACCTACACAAACCCTAACTGTGACCTGACAGCATTACAGGCTACTCCGGTGTGGGCAGGAAATGTCTATATTTGGTAGTCCATGAGGCGGAAGTACACCATGTGATAATACAAAGCAGGGCCAAGGCCAGGCATACTAGGCCAGGTGAGAAATGGAGCAGTGGTGTAAGGAAGGTATGGGTTTGTAAAATGCATTGAGGAGACCATCGGACATTTTATTTAACCAGGCAAGGTGGCTGAAAATATTTATTAACACTGGTAACCTGTGGTGGTATATAGGTATTAATGTATCTGACTGAATATCAAATCTGCATGAGGGGGGACCATCTTAAGGTAGCAAAAGAGACACAAATAATGACAAGGATACTTACTGAAGTCTAAGATATACAGATCTGAATGATCCATGAGGTTAAATTCATCACCCATTCCTTGCTCTGGACAGGGGCTGTGAAGAGAACAGAAACAGTTTTTATAAGAGCTGTGAAAGAATTATAGTAATTCAGAGTAATTCCTTAAAATGTCATGTCTGTTAACCTGCCACGGCTGTATTCTCTACTCTACTGTTAAATAAGGCATCTTTACCGTTATCCCCCTCCTGCCATTCATAGAATTCCCAACAATTAATTACTAACAGGCGCTGAGTTATTTACCTGGTCATCCACACTCTTAGCATCTTCCTTTAATCACTAAGGTTCATAATCAGGGGGAGACAGATTATTCTCAAAAAGAGCAGTGCTGTTAACACAGTGTCTCTGCTCTCCTTATCATGGGCTGGCATGATTTAAGCCCACAGGAAGTACAGCGCTGCAGGCTGGCCCATGCTGATAGTCTCCCAGACCTGTGCAGTCGTTGATATCACTGCACATCTGTTTCCTGCCGCAGCTAAACACACACACCTGTGACACACCTGGTGCACCACCATAGAAAGCAAAGTTGTATCACAGCTTTCTTCTTTCTATCAATTAATTCAAATGTGAAAGATGGCTACTTTCAGCTGCGTTCTATCATAACGCAGCTGAAAGTAACAGGCAGTCTGTGGGAGTTTTAAGGAAGAATTATTCCTACAAGGCAACAAGTATGTTCCTGTAAATGTACTGGATGCACATCATCACGTAACAACAGTGCACCAAGAGACTTGTCCAGATTAGTGGATAAAATTCCACTTTACAGTTTTACACTACCCAGAGGACAGTTTCAGCCAACAGGTCCATTTACCAAGCAGTTTAGTATCTATAAATATCTATCAAGGAGAATAACTTAGGGACTCCGAAGAAAAGCTTCGCAAGATGCTTTCTGCTACGCACGGATAGGCCAGTGACTGGCATGCTTCCAACTACAGAATTAGACACAACTACAGTACTGTAGAAGCAACTTAGCAGAAACCAGAATTCTGTTTATTATGTTTCCTTTTTCCTTCAATCTCTTTCCACTTTCAATCCTCGCTCCAATCCATCCTCTTGCTGAACACAACATACTCTCTCCTCTACTGTCTCTCCACCCATCAATCTCTATTCCTCTTTCTCGCTGTCCACTCCATCGCGTCTCCCTTTGCTGCGTGTTCAGGATGTTGTAAGGGTTTTACGTTGCTAATCTTCCCTAAACAAACATGGTAGTGGCTTAAAGCGGCCAGGAGAGGTGCAGAGCACGAGCGCAGTCGTCCCAGGGGGGCCAGCTGGGGAAGTCATTACGCCCCCCATTGCATGGGCCTTTATCAGAATACCCCACCCCAAATTCTGGGTCATTTCGAAATCAAGATAATGAACACTAAAAAGATCACAAAAACATTATATATAAACAACATGAACGCTGGTCAGAGACTTTCATGACATTATGGTGCATTTGTCAAGAGAATATTTATAAGGACTTTAGTCTGAAATGGCCCAGCACACCAAGCAAACTGGTGGATGCCATAAGGCCATCATCAGGCATCTGTGGCCAACGACTGCCTGTAGCTTTTACGATGAGCCTGTAATTATTGGCTCTTGGAATATTATGACCTTTATTACATTTTTTTTTTATGAATTTGGTTTCACATCTTGTATGCATTTTGATTATTCATTACCTATGTTCATTGTGCAAAGACAAAAACGGTTGTGCCACATTATGAAAAGGAAAAATTCTAGTGGTTTACTGGTTGCATTAGATACCGTATGTGTGGAAATGACACCAACATCAGCAGTCTGTGTCCATTTCAGAAGTAATGAAAAGTAGCATCTCTATCTAGGAGCACACTGCAGTAGCCGTCAACTACTGTGCAAGCTCACATGGAGAGAGGGTGTAGGCCTTGGATGCTGATGCGTGAAAGAGTGCAGATAAGAGGATGCTTTAACAAGAGCAACAAGAGAGATGACGATTGCTTCCCCTGGGACAAGGCTTTCTCGCATGCTCATGGATAATGTCAGCCTAGGTGTGAAATTCAGTAGAACATTAGGGAATGGTAATGCTTTATTGGTCCCCACAAAAAGTAAGAGGCTGAAGGGGATCATAGAGTCAGAGGAAGGGGGGAGAAAAAAAGGTTGTAAGAGGTGTCTGATACACTGGCAGTAGTTGGAAGCAGGAAAGTCACAGTGTGCGACTTTATGTGGCATCCTGGTGTTTGATGGGTCACTCTGTTACTCGATCAGCAAAGTATCACTGTGTGTGAAAGTGCTCCTCCCCCTACAACAGTACTGCTTCCCAATCTGAATGGGGTCTGAGTGATGCCTCTCCCCCACTAAAAAAAACACTGGGTGCTATTTCAAACAACACTCACTGAGGGTGTCTAATCACCCAATTGCCAGTGCTTTCTAGCAACGCACTGCCTGCTCCACCTCATTATCTTCCAAACCTAGGTCTCAAAACAGTAGAAGAAAGAGCTCCTAAAACTAATGAGGGAACAACACAGAACATGGGAACAAAGTATCTCTAGTGTCCACGAATTTAATTGCCCACACATTTATCAAATGACTTTCAGAAACAGCCACAATGCAAATTAAGTGGTATGAATGAATGAGTACTGGAGCAAACTCAGTTGCACCTCTGCTTTCTAAACAAAAACACTGGTGTTAACAGCTTAGCTGGAACCCGTCCTGTCGTAGGCATGTTTTCTGTGGCTTCATTGGCCATATCCTCATTCTTGGAGTGATATGATCTGCATCCCTTTCCTTTCTCCACTTCCTATTGAACTTTGGTCCGTCAGAACCCTCTACCTCGCAGGAACTCATCGCGCACTACAACTTCCTGCAGAGCACCTTATCGGACTGCCCAGACATGCATCAAATTATTTCCGTAGCACTGGTGAGTGAAAACATGAAAATGCTGGGAACAGGTAGTGATAGTACAACAACAAATAAAATAACAGCAATTTGTTAATGACTTGTACGATATAATGGTGCTTAAAGTTAAAAAGTTGCTTAAAGAATTTCCCCCTTGGGGATCAATAAAATATTTATGATTCTGAATACGGGGGGTTGCGCAATAGATAAGACTATGCCTTTGGTGCGAGAGACCAGGGTTCAACTGTGACCCATCTACCAATGTGTCCCTGAGCAAGACACTTAACCCCTAGTTGCTCCAGGGGTGTGCGACCTTTAAGTCGCTTTGGATAAAAGCGTCAGCTAAATGAGTAAATGTAATGTAATGTAATGAATAGGCAACACATTAAGCACTGCATGATCAGACTGATACAAGCATGTAAGACAAAAAAATTACATTATTTGGAAAATAACAATTAAAAAATATAAGATTGTGGCTGGACTGAGACAAGACTTATGTAAAAATGATTAAATGACAAAGCCAACAGACTGGATCTGATAAATGTTTTTTTGGGACTGTTAAGAAATCAGCAAGAGTTGACAACGGTTTTTGGAGCTTAACCTGCTTAAACAAATCCAATAGACTTGGTTATCACTGATCGATAGATTCCCGTCCATTTCTTTTGCCTTAATCTCGACCGTCTCACCTCGTCTTACCAAGCTATCTGTGCCCCCTCCTGGGCAGTGGCTGGACAGTGGATTAAGACCTGTAGTTGGCCAGACCTCAGCCCCATGCAGAGGGACACAAACTATAGCTGGCTCCCAGAGAGAGACGCCTGGCCTCAGATTAGACAGAGGAGATGCCAGCTGCAGGTGAAGCATGCATCTCAAATTGCATCCCCTGTGGACAAAATATAGCTGGACTTGGCGGTGGTATTGGAAAGAAAAACTGGCCCTACAAATCTCAAGCAAATATAAATGTAGTCCATTTATCAGAACAGGTTATCAAACTAGCTGCCTCTAAACGGGAGGAAGAAGACATTAAATAGTGGTTCAGGACCTTGAACACAGCTGGTTAATATACAGGGGGAAGTCTAAAGGGCTTGTCAAAAGCTCCTCTATAGCTGGCGGGTTCATTTTGGAAAAATAAGTTACTTCCTCTATAGCAACAATCTTCATCTGCAGCTGAGGACTAGCATCAAGGTCAGCAGATGCTCACAAAAGAAAATACTGACTAACTTGCAATGGCTTCAGACCATAGCTTAGTACATGTGTGGCTATGGTTCATGTCTTCTATCAGAAGAGCCCATTCGTAAAAATAGCTACTTTTGAATGCAAAGTGGTTCTCTTCATATTCTGCCCCTTTTCCATTGGCACAAGTATTTCTTCTCATGTTAGTTGGATCATTCTGTTTCATTAACATAAGCCTTGTATTGTTTCCGAAAAGTCTATTTCACTGCCAAGGAGGGTTGTTTTAACATGACTGGTGCTGAATGTGAATGAACAGCCACAAAGGGTGGGTGTGCTTTGCTAGTCATTTTTTACTTTGTCTACATAGCATGACATTGTTCTACAGAAGGGACCTAAACCCACTAAGAGGTGTTTTGGTTGTAGTAAATCACTGAACTACTACTATTTAGAAATGTGAAATTATGTGGACAACTGCATCACAAAGCGTCACCTATGCAGGCTGTTTATTTGAGCTGCTGTGTAACACTCAACCCTATGACACCATAATGTATACAGCCTGTTAGTGGGTTAAAGAGGGTTAAGATGCAAATGAAATACTATCGTGAGCTTGTCTTTGAAAAGTAAATCACAGTGTTGCTGTGCTGCCCCAAGGTCCTGTCCCGCCACGTGCGGGATGCCCCATATCCTGCTGGGGTCACCTCCACTGTTTGACAGGCTTTATCTCTGGCATACACACACATGCACACAGACAATTAATAAAGGAAACTTCTGCAGCCTACCCTTTGACACTGAAGGCCAAACGACAACATGTGTGTGGGATCAAAATCTATGGTGTGTTGATAGGCGTGTGTCCATGGAGCCAAGCTCCACTGGGGCCGATCTTCAGACATTGTAGTGTGCAGAAAGTGCAGCCATGATGATACTTACATTCAACAATGAATGAAAATCAAGACAGAAAGCAGGTGTTTCTCATGCAATACTTTGCAAGTAAATAAATTGTTTTAGAATTAGTTCTGCCTCA